AGATAATAATAATATTCTAAGATAATTAATAAATAATAAAATAATAAACTAATAATAAATTCGTTCTATAACAATATATTTAGCTCTGTACAACTTTTTAAAAAGTGTCTGTAGTAATATAGTAGGATACTGTAAAATAAAAAAAATTTAAATAAATAAAAAAAAAACAAAATAAAAAATAAAAAAAAAAATTTTATGTAAGTAATTAATGAATATGGAATTTTTTTGTTAATATATTAACTTATATATATAATTCATATTTAAAATAGCAGAAATAAGCCTTTGCATTCATAAAACATGACCTTTTCATTTACCAATTATTTGGAAAACGATAATGATATATTTGCATATTATGAAGGGGAAGATAGTTTCACAAATTACACAAATTTTTTCGCAAATCATACAGAAAATACTTTCACAAGTTATATGGAAAATTCTTTCACAACTAATATAAAAAATTCTTTCACATATAATATGGAAAATTCTTTTACAAATTATATAGAAAATTCTTTTACAAATTATACAGAAAATTTATTTACAGCTTATACATAGAATACGCTCGCAATTCATATAAGAGATACGCTCTCAAATTATATAGACAATATGTTGATAAACGATGTAATGCAAATTAATACCTTTGCTATTGATAATGATATCAAAGTGGATAAAGACATTGGAGCAGATAAAGGCATTGAAGCAGATAAAGGCATTGAAGCAGATAAAGGCATTGAAGCAAATCAAATAAAGGCATTGAAGTAGTTAAAGATATTGAAGTGAATAAAGGCATTGGAGTGAATGAAGGTATTGAAGCGAATAAAGGTATTGGAGTAGATAAAGATGCTAAAGTAAGCTAAAGCTATGCTCACTATGCTTGCTTTTTGTTTACTAATTATTACAGTATTTAATTGTTGTGAATTTTTGTATTTTATTCTTATAATAAAGCTTGACTATACTGAATCGGGTGTTACTTCTTACAAAGCAATTCAAGACACTACAAATCTTGTTAATCGTATAGACAATGAAAATCTTTGTGAGGTAAATCAGATTTAATGAGGCAGCATAAGTTTTTTACAAATAGTAACATTATAAAATGTTTGTTTTTAGATATTTTCTTGGGACTTATTGCCAGATTTTTTACAGGCAGTTTTTTTCATGAATTATAGCTATTTGATCCGACATATAATAAAATTGCTGCCATATTATACCTATGAGGGTTTTGAAGTACAACAATTTGAAGCCAATACATTTATTAATGTTTCAACTGTGGAAGGTATAAAAGAATAGTTTGTCTCTTTTGAAGAATACTCGAAAACAACAATACCGCAAAACTAAGAGATATGGAGTTAAGGGCAAATGAGTTATTTTTTGAGAATCAAGACATTGTATTCATAGTTAGATTGTTAGGAAAAAACAAGGTGATCCTGAAAGAAAGAATCCAGAATCAGTGCGTAATAGAAATACAGATTGTTCAGCAACCTTGTGTTTGCGATTAAAACGTTGGTGTTTAAATACTAGCCATCTTTTGGAGATTAATATTTGTTTTAAACATAATCATGTCATTAATTCAGCTGAGTTACTCAGTTTTAAACATGTACATGAAGAAATACACAATAAATTTATTCAAATGTTTCATGATGGCCACTCACCTGCTTCCGCTTTATATAATCATGAAGATGAATTATATCTTTTAGCTTCATCAAATGAAAAACTTGTTGAAAATCTTGCTGATCGTGCAATTAATCCAGGTTATAAGTATGTTGTGCACTTTTTTGAATATTATCGTAATTTTCAGCTTGGTGGACAAAAAGGTGCATCGATGTTTCAATATTTAAATGAGGCAGTTTCAAATTATAATACATCAGGTCATGGTCGAGCAATTCTTCAAGAATATGACCTGTAGATAGGAAAAGCATTTATATTATATATTGTTACCGGGTTGATGTGTAGAGTATATGAGAATATTCGTGAAGCTGGTGAAATTTGTTATGTAGATGCCTCTGCGTCATTCGAACCACTAAATACATCAATAACACTTTTGTATATGAGTTGTATAGCAGGTGCACTGCCATTAGGACTACTTATTATGTTTGATGAACTTGAAATGACAATTAAAAACACAATTAATTTTTTAAAATTAATTCTTTCTGAACATGCATTTTTTGGTTGTGGGCATGATATTGGGTCTCAAAATATTTTAACTGACGATTCAGCTTTAGAAAGAAATACATTAAAACATTGTTAGCCACAATCTAATTTACTTTTATGTTCATTCTATATGTTGCAGGCATTCTGGTGTTGGCTCTACAACTCGAAGCATGGTATTAATCAAGAACATCAGATACTTATAATGAACCAAATGAAAAAAATTTTATACTCTTGTACAGAAAATGATATAAATAATAATTATCAAGAATTAAAGAATAATTATTATCATCTGTATCCATTGTTTGCAACTTATTTTAAACGCCTTTGGAACCAACAACAATATTGGCCTATTATTTTCAGTTAAATTTATTGTTACGTAGTAACCATACGAATAACTATATTGAATGTGGCTTCGGCTTGCTTAAAGATATTATCTTTGCAAGAACTAAAGCATATAATTCAGTTCAGGTTTTTTATTTTGTTACTAAAAATATAAAACGATTTTACAAGTGTCGTCTTTATGGTTTTGCACATTGACATCCTGGCTATATAGAAATTGCGAAGAGATTTTTGTGTTCTGGTTGGGAGGATGTTGATAAAGATTTAATTCGTAAGCTAGCAAATTCAGATGAATACTTGGTACCAAGTATGAGAAAAGAAACTGGTATTATTTATAATGTAAATAGTGCTATCAGAACGTGTGATTGTCCTATCAGAATGTCAGGTGCACTGTGCAAGCACCAAGGTGCTGTTGCAATGAAATATCACGTTAGAATTATCAACTTTTTACCTTCATTAACACCCAACGATCGCATGACCTTTTCATTTATCGCAAGTGGTAGGTATCTGTGTAATAAAAGCTATATATTCGTATATATGTGTAACATTGTAATCTTTTTAGGGCTTCATGTGAAAGACTGTTCCTTTTATGCACAAAGCCTGCTTTAATCGAAAATAATACTACAGAAAACAATGAAGATAGTGATTCAAGTGCAATAACAATGTCAAATAATGAGGTTGATACAAATAAGGAATTCAGGTTTGTTTATAACTTTACCATACTATCACTACAAAAAAGATAAAATTTACATTATTAATATCGATTACATTAGCGAATTGGATAATCAGGAAGCAGATTTTGATGGTTCACCTTTCAATGATTTTTTGCAAGAAATTGGGGATGATTATAAGACCTGTGGTACACAATTACGAACAGCATTTGATAAGTTTGCTGAACGATATAAAGCCGCCAAATCACAATCAATTGGTCGTGTAACTACCTTCCTTTATGATCATAGATATAACCTGGATTCCCTGGCACACATTAAAGTGGTGCAATGATTCGAGTTCAACCTGAATCTGTGAAACGAAGAAGAGCAAACGTTAATCAAAAAACTGGTGCAGATAAAGAGAACGATCACCAAGAAATTCCCAAACATAAAGTGCGCAAAGTAAATAAAGCTAAACATAATTTGTGCAAAAATGTTTCCAATAATACCTTGAATTAATACTATAATAGTTGATCCCGATGTAATGATAATAATTCAGGGATGGGCAAACAGAAATAAAGATATTTTTGATCATATAAACTTACTTCTTACAAGTATGAAGTTATAATTGAATAAGATTTTTTTTTTCTTTGAAAAATAACATTAAAAAATAAAATAAAAAAAACTAACAAGAGGATTTATTTGGTCATGAATTTAGCGGTATTGTATGAAAAATTCACAATGGTAAATATGTAATTACATTAAAGTCATCTAATATTACATTTGTTTTATTAAATAAATTTAAATATGTAGTTGTAAGGTGGTGATTATATGAATTATCAAAATTATTAGTATTTCAACATGCGGCTTCATAAATTTTAAAATCTAAACTCAAATTTATCATGCTGAATAAAAAGTCAATAAAAGTTCAATCGTCTTCCAAGCTGTAGACATTTACAGCTATGGTGCTATCATAAATTCCATTCGACATTAACCTTGCGACCAGAATTCTAGATTGTTATACCGAATTGGTAACCAAGTTAGAACATTTGTTAATATTTAATAACTTAAAAATTTTAAAAAAAATTTACATATGTAGTAAATGTGGTTAATACGAAGATTTATGCCGGCAATATAAAATTATATTTATAAATTGCTAATTACATCTAATTTTTGAATGGTTAGTACGTATGTACATACAGGTTTCATTTTTCTTCGTTCAAAGTATATACTAATTCGAAAGTTTATTGATTATCTACTTTGCATGTAAGTGTACGTTCTATCAGGCAATAGTTACACCGCATGTCACATTGCAATGATCGACATAACCTGGCACAGAATGGATGGGTGCTCGACACGACTACGACACGACGGATACATTTTTTTGTCGATCATGAAATTGCTCTATATTTTAGTTAAAATTTCGAAAAAATTTTTTTCATAATCTTGTTTATCCCAGATTAAAACGAAAATACAGAGAATTTTAAAATAAACCTTGTAGTGCAGTACTAATTAAAAAATGACAGGAATGAAATTTTACTTATCTACTTTCCTTCTAACCTAACTCTACCCTGCTCTATTCAACTAACCCGATTTATTATTTAAATACAAAAAAAACTATTTTTTTTGGGTTGTATCTCACAAATCTGCCCATAATGTCACGTGTATTATCGTTGATCAAACACTTTTGTTTCCCCTTCGCTCCGGACATGTGAGCCGCTCTTCTAGAAGTTCGGATTTCATAGTATGATGCACAAATAATTTATTTGGCAACGAGATAATTATCGACGAAGGGTTGAATTCGGGTAATGAAACCGAAATAAATTTATGCGACAGTTGATTCAATCCCCTATAATATTATATTTGCCTCCCCAAAGAGAAATGCAAGTCAAAAACTTGTTTACCCTCGTTTTCAGGATGATCTAATCGATAGAAATTACCTTTATTAGTTCTGAAAGTTCGCTATATGCAATTATATACTATGATTTCTAGTTCGTTATATTCAAAGTTCGTTATCTGTTACCGGGTTGGTTAAAAGTTCCTAAACGGGACCTTTTTGCTATCTCAGCTAATAATACTAATAATAAAAGTTTTTTTTATAAATCTGCATTGTATTTGCAATACGATCCTATCTGAAAGCTTTTCGCTTGAGTATATAAATATATAAATTTATAAGTAACGTTTAATATTAGCGGAGGTAGCAAAAAAAGGGACACTTTTAACCAACCCGGTATAAGTCACTCGTTATTTATAGTGAAGTGATCGGTTCCATTAATAAAATTTACTATATCGAGAGTTTTACGTACTAATAAATTCAATATATCGAATTTTATATAGATTGGAACCTTCACTATATCGAGATTTAATTAGTCAACTATATCGAGAGTTCACTATAACGAGAATGGGTTAACTGTGTGAATATATATATATATAAGCGCGATATTTTACTTCCACCAATTACTTGGTACCACGCCAGGGGTATAATCGATACTTTAAGAAAAAAAGGCAACGTAATACAGATGTCACAAATTCCTCTATATAATTATTTATAAATAATTTTTGTAGTTCTTTCTCGGTCCCTGGCGACGCATTACAAGATTAACAATAATCCAGTCATTAGTATCCATTAACAATGGATACTTTAAAAGACGTCCCAGAGTTTTTCGAAACTCAACTTGATGAATCTATACTTGCCAGAACAGAAAATTTAGGTAATTTTAATTTTTTAAATTTTTTTTAGGTGGCTGAGCATAAGAACTTTGATTTTGAATTTTTTTATTTTTTTGGTCTTAATCTTTCAGCGTCATTTCGTGAGCTTGGTCCTCCTGACCTTTGCCATATAACTAAATCTAATGCCAAGCCCGGTGTAAAAGAGGTGAGAAATGCCTCCATTTACTCCTCCGCGTAGATTTGCATCAACACGTGTACAATCTACAGAATTACATATTTCAATGAAGCGCGTATTTGTAATTCAGGTATACTGTAAATTCACTAATTTGTTGTTAATTACTACTTTAGGTTGGCTCTTATCATTATGTTTCTGGTGTCGACGCTTCTTCTTCAGCTACCTTGGCAGCATACCTCAATTCACTGACTTACGCATTGGTAAATTTACTAATAAATTTGCAAGTATATTATGTAATGACTATTATTTACGTTGTTGATTTTTAAGGAAGAAACCCATGCATGGTTTTCCAAATCCTCCGCTTGGAGAATTCGTTCGGGGGTATATTGGTATGTAATCCATTTATACAATTTCAATTTATTTGCTATTCATGTTGATCCATTTATATCATTGTTTGCTAAGTTTGATTATTCCAGTTGTTTTAATGCCTTTTCGCGAGTGGACGTGCGCGTTGAAGTTAAAATTCCTGGTGGTGTCGAAAGCTATATCGTAGATGCGCGTGGTGAAAAGTAATTCGTAGTATAAACTCTTATATCTGAACATTAGTCAAAGTTTTAAAATATGCGCTTTTTATCAATTGAATTTAAATTCTAGACATGAGGCTACACCGGAGATGTGGCAAGAAACCTACATTTCTGCACTTCTACGCGCTATACTTTATTCAGACGATGCCAATTATAGGCTTGCTGGATTTCGCAAATTAGACCCTATCCCAAATATAGAAGCAGAAGCCCATTTCTTAGAGGCGGCTGAAACTCTCTTTTTTAAAGGTTCTTATTAAAATTATTATTATTATCATTATTATTATTATTATATACGTTTCAATCGATAATATGAACTGACGAATTAATTAATATTTAGGTTGGCAGCTTGGGTCAGAACCAGAAATTCAAGTTGCAACTGTTGTCAGTAATCATTTGACTAGTGGCATTATGAAATATTTTAGTGAAAATTTTAGATATGAACGTGCGGTGAACCTTTTTGAAAAACATATCCTTTGGAAATTTAATATATTGATTCCGTTACAATAAATCAGTTTTTTATGTTTTATTATAATATCTTTTAACTGCCGGTGTTTTCTCAACAAAATACACTGTACTTAAAAGATCCTGAAGTCGCTTCGTTACTTGCACAATCATATATAGGGATGGGTAAGTTTTAATTTATATCTTTGTCATAATTTTATAATAATCATCTAACATGTACTCTTTTTTAAGATGAGGAAATAAAGGCGGTTAATATTTTATACGAAGCCCTAAAACAGAATCAAATGAGCTATGCGCTTCTACATGTTCAAACAGATTTTTTATTGTCAAAGGTAATTCTTCATGTTTTATAATAAAGATCACATTCGCAACTTTATTAATTTATTGAGAAAATAGGGAAAAAAACCTTTTGCTCTTAAACTTGCTAAACAAGCGGTAAATTGTGCACCATCCGAATTTGTCACTTGGGCCAAACTTACTGAGGTGTACATTGATCTTGAAGATTATGAATCGGTAAGAAAATTTTTATGGATTTTGAGTTAAAGATTTATTAGATTAATATTTTATCTCATTACACAATTGTTTTTTTAATTTTATTTGTGGATTAATATATGATTAATATATGATGATGACCATTTTCTAAAGGCATTGTTGACTCTGAATTCTTGCCCAATGTTTACATATAACGATAGAGACATGCATAGAATGCCAACCCCAGCAAAGACTCATCTTCCGATTAAACAAGAGATTGCAAATGTTGGACTTTTGGATGATGACAATGGACGTGACACCGAGGTAAAACCTCGTTGCAAGCAATCTACTTTTTGTTTACGCAAGCGCTGCTTAACTTAGTTATATTGTACTAAAGGCTGATGTCGGTCTTCTACGCCTTCCGGCACCATCACTTCGAGGTACCTTTGCTAAAGCATATTCATTGTTAACACGGCTGGTTGCCAAAATTGGATGGGATGAATTATTAAAATGTCGATCCTCTGTCTTCGTAATGGAGGAGGAATATCGTATGCAAAAAGCTGCTGAGGAAGAACGAAGAAATCAAAAATTAGCTAATATTAAGCCACACGAAAAAGAAGATAATAAAGAGCCAGATGTCATAAAAGTTAAGACAAATGGTGTAAATGATTCATCTCAATCTATTCCGACGATTACAGTATCAGGTGATTCCGACAACAATAAGGAACATAATGTTTCATCAGGTTCACAAGAAAATAAAACTACTTTAGAAACAGTTGATGAAAATCCTGAGCAGAATTTGGAGGAAACAAATAATCATGATGACAATGAAGACCAAGAACAAAAAAAAAATATTAATCATAATGCTCCTGTTGATGAACAATCAGTTGATTCTTTAGAAGAAGTTAATCTGAATGACGAAAAATCTGGAGTGGATGAGACTTCTACTCCAGTAATAGAATTCAAGGGTCCTGAACTGGAAAAACCAACACAAGCTGCTAATGAAGATAAAAGTGAAGGCCAAAGTCCAAATAATGATGAACAAAGCAAGGTATAATCTGATTCCTTAATTATGTCAAGGAATGTGGAATGTAAAATTATAATTAGATTTTTTACAATTGAATTCAGGATGCTGCATCAAAAAAAGATTATGCGTTCTCGTTCAATAACAAAAGGCTCTGCGAAAGGTTTGTTGCTATTAAAAAACGTATCATTAAAAAATATATATATTTAAACGACGAAAATAACATTTCACATTTATTTAATATATTAGGTGGCTTGATAACCTTTTCATGGTTTTGTATGAGGTAGTCTCGTCTTGTTTTAAAACACTTTTTTTTGATCGCGCTGCAATCAAATATCATAACTAAAGCCTAAATTAATCCGTAGGATTTGAGGGTTTACACGGTTTGGCGCTCAGAAGTTGCGCATTACAAAGCTCATCAGATGTCTTATCGCAAAACTGGTACCGAATGGGAAATTCTGGGAGATTTAGCAGCAAGACTACACCACAAGGCAATAAATAGATACTGTATTATTTATTTGTTAAAATGTGTCTGTTAATATAAAATATCTGATTCTATCCAAAATAGGACGATGCCAAGGAGGCCTATACACGTTGTCTTGATAATAAATTTTCAGCTAAAGCCTGGCTAAGACTGCTAGAAATTTATGCAGAGGAAGGGGATGTACAACATGCTTTAACCGCTGTAGTAAAGTTGTCTGTGTACCATGAACGATGGTATCATGAAATAATTGTAAGTTTAAAGAAATTCGTATTATATTTATTATAAATTATTCTTTAATCTACGATTAATAATGATACGACTTAATTTTTCATATTTATAATTATTTTTTAGTATCCAACCGCTGTCGCATATAATCTCAACAAATTGATTCGAAGTGAGGGGCAATCTAAAATAAATTACAACCTTATCTCCATGAATTTATCACCACCTGTAGCCAAGTTGGTTACGAGATACCTAATTTTTGCCGAAACCTTTAAAATTCCCGGATCAGATTTATAATTCCCTAGTTTCACACAACCTACTAATGATACATTATAAAAAAAAACCCCCGAAAATGTGTTGAAAATTTTCAAAATCAAAATTGTTTAATGTAGGACTATTTTTTAAGATGTAATTTCGAAATCTGGGTACATGTTTTTTTAGGATTATAATTTATATTTTATATATTTTTTTGGAGTGAATTATGATTTTTTTCTTAAATTTATACATTCTACCATACAGTAGTGTCATTAATCATAGAGAAATAAATGACTATTCTCGCGTATCAATTACCGTAGATATATATATTGTTTTAAAATTAAAGAATTAGTATTATTAATAAAGAAAAAAAAAAAGTCTGGTTGTATTTTTCGGCCCGATAAAATTGTTAAACTATCTAAAGTTTGGAAGTTGAATTGATAAATCTATAATAATAAACACGTATATTGAAAAATTAGCTTTTTTTGTTATATAGTTCTAAATTAATAAATGGGATGAATATTTTTGGCCACTACTGGTCAATCTTTTTCCTAATATTTCTTGATTTATTATTGCTATTTCCAAATTTTCTTTTTTTGAAAACAACATTGCTTTTTTCGTCTACGCCTTCCTCTTTCTTTATTTTTACTAATTCCAGGTCCAATTCTTCATGACTATCAATTGGAAAAGACTTTTCAACAATTTTAAAATTTCTTAAATCATCCGGATCATCCTCATCTTCATCATCATCATCTTGAATATTTGATGTGTGCTGCGTTGTTGAAGATAATGTGGAATCGTCCTTAGACTCTTCCTTAATATGTGAATTACGAATAGTTGGTAATGGGGGTGGAGTTACGGGCCTCCATTCACCTATAACAGGTTCAGTACCATCTCCTCTATCTTCCACTATTGGTGCTCTTGTTTGCGTGATCACTGGTTGAGCTGGTAGAGGTGCAGTTGAAGTATGTAGTGGTGTAGCAGATCCCGCATAAACAATATCATGATAACCAATATTTTTTGTAGGTGTTAAATCAGTTGGAGGCTTTATAGATGAAGTAGCACCAGGAGCTTCAAGTGCAATATCTCTTCTATATTGTTTCATTGCTGCCTGGGATTAAAACATTAAATTACTATAAATTGGACAGAATATTCATATATTAAACATTATTTGATACCTTTTCAATTCTTTCTAATTCTCGTTTAGTTTTCGCTGCCTCTTTACGGCTTTCATGTTCTTTACGATAAATATCCCTAAGAAACTTTTCCTGATTTTCTCGATGTTTTTTACCTTGCTCATGCATAGTTCGACTCTTAAAAAAGAATATAATTCCAACATAAGAAATTAAATAATAGATTACAAACCAAAAAAAATAAAATAAAATAGCTTACGGGTTTATTGTCCGCAATATAAATGCGACAATATTGACACCAATGTTTTTGCTGTGATATCCAAAATTCTGACCTGTAATCATAGAATTGTTCAGTTTAAAAAAACAAAAATTTAAATAGATTTATAGAAAGGAAAAAACTAAATTTCATACATTTTTACAGTTCGGAATGAAAATTCTAGAGGTTTTTTGTTGAGAGAATGAGTATGTATGCTGCGTCAAGATAACTGAATTTTAATCTGAGATAAGTCACGTGATTGCTGTGTCGGTATGAACATTTTCTACCCAAAATTTTCGGGTCGTAATGGCCGGAATGCGTCGTGGTTAGGGTCGGGATTAGGGCTGGGTTAGGGTTAGCGGGAGCTATAGGCTATAGTAAAATTATCAGCTGGGCACTTTTCACTTAATGAACGACTATTATTTCATTAGTAAAATTCTTAGTAATCTTGGGACAAAATTGATAACTCTGGCCCTTCCGACCAGAGTTCCGAAGCTTCCGACCCGGAATTTTGGGGATCTCCCTGTAGGAGTTTATAATTACAGAAGTGAAAAGTTACGTCATCAATCACGGGTCACTCAAGCTATGGTATCAGATTAAAAATTATCGAGCCAATCAGATGAAACTCTTCCTACATATAAAATAAATTATACTTAACGGATTAAAACGTAATTTGTAGAAGAATAATGAACGCTTCGAAACAAAGTTGAGTTAATGTTTTCTTAAAATGGCCTTATATAATCATTTTATTATATAAATTGAAATTGCATGAAATTTTTTAGAAAGAAAAAAAAATTCTAAAGCTTCGGCCTCAGATTTTGCAGCAGCAATCAACAAAATTTTGTCGAGTTCTGTTAAACCTGCGGACAGAAATGTAACAGTTATTTCGAATCATAAAAATGTGACTAATAAATAATTTAACAAAATTAACAAAGTTCTGCTTTCCGATAGATACCAATTTTATCTCGATCTAAAGGCATCGAACGACGCATTGATGATGCAAAACTAGAATATCGAGCACGAAAGGCCATAAATATTGAAAAGAAGAAATTAGCCGATAAAGATCGAATAAAAGTGGATTTTACTACTATGGGCACTGAAAGGAAGTTGAAAAAAATAGCAACCAGAGGCGGTATAACGAATGCATCATATTATTACGATTGTTGTTATTTTAAATTTTTGTTCTAAGGCGTATATATTTATATATCGATTAATTATGTATAGTTGTACAATTATTTAATGCAATTCATATATCACAAAAAATCGTCGATAATTCAGTAAAAGAAGCTGGTGGTAGAGAAAGATTAACAACAAGAGAGGCTAAAGATGGTAAAGTATATTTATTTATAACATGTTGTCATTCAATTTGTTGCTGATTATTTTTACAAATCTATAGTATCTTCAATGTCAAAGGAAAAGTTTCTCGATCTTTTAAAAAGTGGTCTTTAAAATTAGGAAACTAGTTTCGCACGTATCATTACGCACCAAAAAATATATCAGAAATAATAAAAATATTATAATTATATGTATCGTTATCACTCGGACAACTTGGACAGTATTCTGACAGAATTTGACACCAAATACACCAAATAATGCAGAATTTTATTGTAATGGCCTACTTTAAGCTATTTACTATTAAAATTGTTCAGAATTAACGTTGCATATATGTGTGCATTTTTAGGTAGATTTATGAGCTAGATGAGAGTCTGACAATCCAAAAGGTCCAGACATCCAAAATATACAACCCTGGCCATATGAATGCCTGGCTGTTTATTATTAGATGGACGTGGATATATAGCAAATATAAATGAAGACTCGTCATCCAACGTACAAAGATTAAACAATTTTACTCACGAAATGAAATATCCCATTTAACGTCTGGTTGTCTTAAATATAAGGAACCTGGCACGCTTAAAGTAAACTGATATGCCATTATACTATATATGAGGTCTATTAGTAAATTACAGCAGTCTATCACTTTTATATAAAATTTATAATTTTAAAGGGTGATTAATAATCTTTTTTTCATAATCAATTCTTAAACATATTAACTAGTGTTTCAAATCAGCCGGCTGCTGTAATTTAGATAAAAAAAAGAAAAGAAAAGTTTTAAGATTAATTTTATATTGAAACATTTGAAAAAAAAGTAATAAAATCCGTCCTCTACATCTAAAGTATTCTTTAATAAGAGTAATCATAAATATTCTTTAATAATATAAGCTATACCGATCACTATAGCAACTGTAATATACTATTATATAAGTTACAAAAGTTTTCGATTATGCATATTTATTAATATATGGGAACCCACGGCAAAGCGAAAAAAATGGGTTAGACAGTTATCGATGTATATTAGATCAAAAAATTTTAATATTGATTGTCAAATATCGTATAATTTAATGTTATTAGAAGGCATTTTACTAAGGTTCGCCCATTTTCAATACAATGATTTTAAAGATTGGTGTAAATTTTTGAGTAAGGAATACTATACTTAGTGCTTAGCAGAATCAAACAAAAACTTGATTTTTAAATTTTTGAATCTATCGATTTATCAGAATTGTGCTTTAATTACAAAATCTATTTTACTCTAATCTGATTTTGAACTTCATGGTACGTAAGTTACTACGAAGTCTAAAGTAAGATCAGATGACTGATAAATTTACATATTTACTAAAAATAAAATTTGCATTTAACGCCAATACTGTAAATTAATAGATTCAAAAACTTGAAAATCAAGTTTTTTTTTTTGATCCTGCTACACTCTATACTTCTAGAATGGAGAAAGAAAGCATTTGAATATAGTATTTAAGGTCAGTCATACATCCTGTGCGTGCTACACCTTATGCCTAGCACGTTATAACACATTTTGGCCTTTGGAGTTCATCTCTGTGTTTCCCAAAAGAAATGAATGTACTACAGTAGCATCAGGAAGTTTTGAGGGTGTTAACTAACACAAACCCTACATAGTATAAAACTTTTTATTAATAAAATTGGCGATAAAACAATAAGAGTGATAAATAGCTATTTATCACACCACTATAGTTTAACATTAATTTTATTAATATGAGGGCTCAGACACGTTCAACAACCGCCACGCAAATTTAATTTATTGGTTCTCGCAACATGAACCTTTTTTAAATAGACCCGGCTGGCTTTTTTTAAAATTTATTTTATGTATGACAATTTATAAAATTTTT